GTCAATTCTGGTGCACACTTTTTGGGAATGATGAGTGTCATTCTTTCAGGATCATTGGCCTTATTCGTATCGAGACCGAGCAGAATGTGTCATGTATGGGCGACGAGAGGAAGTCATGCTCTAGTTGATCTTCAAATATCATATCAAATATCACCACTACGAAATAGTATGATACTCATAGTAAAACACAAACACTCAGAGAAATAGTCGGTAGTAAATACCAAAAGTTTAGTCAAATAGGTGCCAGTCAATACATTCATCTTATTATACCACTACAAAATTGAATAATACTATACTATATCAAATTTCACCACTACAAAACAGTATGATACTCATAGTAAAGTAAGATACAATTTTGATGTGGTATCATTTGATGAATTGTAGTGACTGGCGCCTATTTCACTAAACGTTTGGTATTCAACCGACTGTTTCTCTGAGTGTTTGTCGATTTGCATACATCACTGCCTAACAGAAATCAGACATTCGTTAATTTTATGAGGCATGGGGAATGAGTGAAATAATTGGGAGATAATTACTTACATCTGTTTCATCGGATCGATAATTGCTGATTTTAATGCTGACGAAAAAATAATGTCAATAGCTATTGATTCATTGGAAAGATATTACGAAGCAAAAACTAGTTATTCAGAACTCTCTCTCAGGGTTGTTGCCCGAATTCTAATGTTTCCAAGACCTGTTTCCACTGTCAGTTTCTTCACCTTTTCAAAAAGCTTTCCAGTTATTATTTTGTATACGAAAAAAGAGTTTTTAATCACTTGATTATATACATTCTCTTCCAGGATCTTCATTTTAGAAACCCAATGTGCTTCAACATTGGTGATAAAATGGGTGAATGCTTCTGATATTCCGATTTGATTCGAGCAATGAATTCCAGTTCTTCCAATCAACTGGATCATTTTGACAGTGCTTGTAATCTTTCGGAGACACAATGTAATCAACTTTTTTTATTTTCCTGATGCGGTTTACTGTTAAAGTCTAAATTCCTTCATATAAATGATATTTCATCAAATCCCTTCCTCTTGAGATTGAAAGTGCTTGATTTCATACAACCCTCTATTTTTTCACCAACTGTTCATTATATATTCATACACATAATATATTCGCAAACCATCAACATCAGTCAAAGCAGAGGATTCCTAGGAAGAACTGGGGCATCTCCTCTAATTACACCACAGTTTAAGAACACATTCAGCTTTAATTAGTTAATCACCCTACAGAATAAAATCATCAAATTAATCTTCCGAACTGACAAACTATTTCTGTAGGAACAATAAGCTGAGTTCAGCGAGAACTAGCTTGCTGTCAGTTAATCTGTTTCCAATGATAGATGATGCTTTTTTGTGTAATTCTGAGTACAAAGCAAGATGTAGTTCTTGGTAAACATTTCTTAGTGAGATTAATAATTTCTGGCCGAACCTCCATCGGAGCATGAAAAAAGGTATTGCTTCTTTTCATATAATTCAGTATATAGGGCGCCGAAATGTTAATGGAACGAAAAATCTTCGAGAAACTTTGGTTATGAAGGAATGCACAATTGATGAGCAACAATGGTATGTGATCGCTACGTCAGAAAATATAATTTGAATGAATACAAAAACCTCAAAGTCATTTCCACACTATGTTCATAAAATGAACAACAATGGTAGATTTCGGGAGAAAGACAACTAATTTCCTGGCTAATGCCACGCAGAGCATTGAATTACATCCTTCCGAAATCTATGCATCGACTTGTATAAACGAATACTGATACAAGTGAATCTTTTATGAATGCCTATTGATTTCGATTTATCCAGGCCACGCTAGACACCTACAGACCGGTTTCGAGCTTTTTGACTCTCATCAGTGCAGGGTAGTCTCCAGCCAGCAGTCCTAAGACCGCCGACTAAGGGCAGCCTAGCCAAACAAAAATCAAGTCGATATTATGTTCCCCCAGTGGCGTCTTTCATAGACAATATGTAAGCAACGCCATCTGAGTAGAAAAGAAGGAAAGAAATACTCCAATACTGAAATTCCTATACGGGAGTGGCTGGTTGCCCGACTGGCGTGATTTCAACTACGAAGTAGCCACAATGCTCAAAGTGGAATGAAATGTTAAATGAATACAAAAAGCTCAAAGTCATTTCCACACAATGTTCATGAAATGAGCAACAATTGTAGATTTCGTGAGAAAAACAAAAAACAACTACTTTCCTGTCTAATGCCACGCAGAACATTGGCATTCAGGAAAGAATCACTTGTATCAGTATTCGTTTATATGAGTCGATGCAGAGATTTCGGGAGGATGTAATTCAATGTTCTGCGTGGCATTAGCCAGGAAAGTATTCAGTTGTTTTTCTCCGACATCAACCATTGTTGATCTTTTCTTGAGTATTGCGTGGAAATGACTTTGAGCTTTTTGTATTTATGTAACATTTCATTCCACTTCGAGCATTGTGGCTATTTCGTAGTTGAATATAATTTGAAATTCATTAAGGAATATGTGCATAAATCAAAACCAAGGTATTATCTGTGCCAGAGAAGGTGGCGATATTTTTCTTCAACTAAATACTACGAAGTGGTTAAATTCAATAGGAAATAATGAAGTATGTCTCAAGTTCAAAGTATATGAACATGATGAAGAGCATGTAAAATTGAAAATAGTAGTCGGCCGTCCTGGATTTTCCATTAGGCTGTAAAGGCCGCGGCCATAGGAGCGGCAGCTTTCTGAGGACGGCGCTCGCACGCTTTGGTCCACGTTATTTTTCTTTCTCAGAATCTAGTAACAAATCGCCATATCTAACGTTTCCCTTCTCGCTTAACGGTCGTCCTCACTCTTGTAATCAACATAAGGAATCACAAAAAAGTCTCTCATGTAATTTTATAACTTTGATCTAGAGGCTCACATGGTTCAGGAATGTGAACACTTTCACAGCCATATTTATTATAACATTTTCGAGGAACCAATCATTGAAATTCATGAAGGAATATTTGCTTAAATCAAAACCAAAGTATTATCTGTGCCAGAGAAGGTGACGAATTTTTTCTACAACTACTACGAAGTGAACAAATATAATAATAAATAATAAAATATGTCCCATAATTGGTGGCCAGCGTACAGCCTCGTGGTTAAGGCGTCAATGTTCTATCCACGTTGGATTACCGGTAGTGGGTTCGATTCCCACCACGACCGCAGAAATTTTTTTGATGGCCTAAGAAAGTGTTTGGGATCACACGTTAAAAGGTAAGACCCCCGTCATTCCATGCTCGCACAAGTCTCTTGAAGACTTCTAAGGGTTGCTCGTAAGGGGGCAACCGAATGATGGATACGAACAATTTTAGAACAATAAAAATGAATTATATAAGAATGAAGAAGTGCAGGTGAATATGAAACTAGAAGTTAGCAGTCCTGGATTTGCCAATAGGCTGTGAAGGGGCGGCAGCTTCCTGAGGGCGGCGCTCGCCCGCTTTGGTCCACGTTATTTTTCTTTCTCAAAATCTAGCAACAGATCGCCATATCTAACGTTCCCCTTCCCACTTAACGATCTTCTTACTCTTGTAATCAACAAAAGAGATCACATAAAAGCTGAGTCTCTCCTGTAATTTTATAACAATGATTTAGAGGCTCACATGATTCAGGAATGTGTACACTTTCACAGCCATATTCATTTCAATGAGACGGTGAAAAACTATTAATCTACACCATCATTGGATATTTTTACGTTTTCCAGAAACCAATCTTTATGCACCGTTCACTCGGACTTGAATATAACTTTCTGCATAGCGCTTTGCACTCAGGCAACAAATTGTTCTGAAGTTTTTATATTCTAAACGATTGGAATATTACCAAAGCTCTTCATTATATTGAAAGAAACTGAACTCTCCGTCCCTTTATGCAAAGAAGCCAGACATAACGAACACAATGCTGAAATTGCGCATAATCGTTTTCAACATAATATTAGAAATAGAATACACAAAAAAGCTATTATTACTTTGAAAATTCATCTTCAAGACAACTTGGAGTTTTCGAAGATTCTTCTTGTTTCTTCATGCTCGGTCACTCAGTTAGAGTTTGTGCATTGAATTTAGTATACTCCTATATAGTTGAGCATGATCCATCTTCATAACTAGAAATATTCACATCTCAGATTCATTTGGTAAGCATATGCCGTTTTCACTAAGTGTTTGTTTGATCTGGTCTGAGTATGATCTGGTCTGAGCCTGATCTGGTCCTAATATGGTACCTTATAGGTATATAGTATTCTTGATCACACATCATCACATGTTAGACACATTAAAACGCATTTTTATCAAATTTTTGAGTCTATTCCTTCGTGATTTTGAAGCCCCTGTTAAATACACATGGACGGATGGCAAATTATCTCATCTGAAGAATCCACTGTACCAAAAATGATTTGGTACATAAACTTCACATCACATGGCAAATTAACCATGAGTTGTTGGATACTTTGCCAATTTCGAGATCCAAAAATAAATTACTCTCTCCATACCTACTTCAGATTGAATCTATTGGTCGCAAGAAAAAACAGTCAAAATTGAACATACTCCTTAGACGAATACATATCATCCACCGTTCAATATTTAATTGCGAAATACTCCATATCTCTAGCAAATTAACCACGTTTCACGGTACATTGAGGATTCGCATTCTCTATCTGATAAAAATATGAATTCTTTCTCGGTATATTCCACAGTAAACGACTACTTTCCAGGATATGCCACGATGAACAATTGAATCATATCAATTGAACACACAATAAAAATTTGAATTGAAGTCTTCTGAAGATTTTATCTGAACCACACTCCTAAAAAAAATTGATGCTGCAAACCAAATATAGGTCATCCAAGTCTCAAGAGCTTGTGTGCAAAGCTTGGATTCCATACGGAATACATTTTTTCATACGTAGATACATACCTCAAGTACTATAATTTTGAGAAGACGTAGATATAGTTTGATAATTCATCTCATCTCATCTTTCCAGGCAAAGTCAGAGGAACATGCCAGCTTATGGAACCTTCCACCTTTACAATAAGTTGAATGTTGAACACATCATCAATTATAGAAAATGGCGAGACCTCGAGGATATTTTCTCCAATTTCATTGTCGAAAAATGTGCACTGAGTATTCTCAGTCCATCTTTGACAACGAGTTTACAGGTGAGCACCAGCTTGTATTCTACAATATCGAGTTCCTCCCAACAGTGCAAATCTTGTCAAGTTAGTCACATTATTAGAGCGCAAGCGGGTAGAAGTGGCAGAAGAATATTGAGGAAACACATTCATCATGTTCATCTTTCAAGATTTAAAGCAATATTCACTGCATAATAAACCTAATTTTGTTTCATTAGGAGCATGGCCTATACCGTTATGGATAGAGAGAATCGCAATGTATACCTAACGAGCGAAATAATTAGTATTTTATAATAAGATGGTCATAATGCCTATATAGGATTTGGGATTCAAGTTCTGTGAATAATTTACGAGTAATTCGATCCTACTTCTCGAAAAATGAAAAAAATTTCAATAATACATGTCTTATTGGTATAGGATCTTTCAGTAAGCTGAACAATGTCAACAGAAAGTATGATTTATTTGCTATCACTTTTAAATCAACAATATTTCATCTGCGACGATATTGTCACCTGACAAATATTTTCAACTTGACAAGTAGGCAGTATTTTCAGAATGGTATTAATTCATCACTATTTGATGATGATGATAAGATTGCCACTATAATTTGCCTGTCGAACTATTCATTTTCAAATGATTCGCTATTTTCGAAACTATACTGACTTTGCACGATCTATCAGAGCTCGATGCTCGAGAATTGTTGCACTGACCTCTGATGGATGCACTCAGTGCGAACCAGTTTTACCAATGGAATTTGATATAAATCTGAGTGACTCTGAATTTCACGACAAAATATGATGATGAATTGATAAGACATTTGATAGGATGAAGCTATCATGTCATGCAAGCCTTATCATAACGTTACATAACATAATAGTTATCTATACATCAAGGTAGTGAATGATATCATTTTCACCCAGAGATATATTAATTGATTGATTGATTGATTTATCGCAGAATGACCAGTCAGGGTTCGAAGCCCAAACCACTGCAGCCTTTGAGACTATTGTATTACTGATAATGCTGTTGACTAAGGTGAACAGGTTAGCTACCTAAATGACGTTGACAATCATTCGTTGGAAAACTCACGTGTGAGCTTAGTGCTCCCAAAAGATTGTATCTCCAACGCGCTAGTGCCTCGCACTCCAATACTACATGGGTGGCCCTTTATTCCTCCTCATATGGGTTCGTCTGTATAGATGCCGATTTGATGCATATGCTTCCTCAATTAGCAGTGTTCTGGACAGTGTTCCAACCATCAGTTCGCTGTGTCTTTGTCCTGGAACGTTGTTCCAGAATGCCTGATGTTTTTCGTGCGTCCACCTTGCCAGCCAGTCGCGTATTGAGGTTGAGGGGATTCCGAACACAGATTCTGGTCCCATGAATAACATCGCAGACCCTCGCCTAGCAAGAGCATCAGCTAATTCATTGCCTTTAATTTCCTTATGCCCTGGCACCCATTGAAGCCTATGAACAATTTCATTCGGTGAAATCATTAGGCAACAAGCTGTCGTAACAATCGCCGAATATTTCCAGCAAAATAGTATCGCTTGTGGTATCACATATGATAATCCCAAACCAATCTTGAGATGAATACAGGGTGTGCCATTTTAAAATCGAAAGTTGCAGTCATTTCTGGTCGACATTGTGAAGTACCGCAAAGCAAGTAGATATGTCAATTGAACAACCCCACAAATTTTGTTAAATTATCTTCAATAATGAGTATTTTAAAGGGGTGAGCCACCTTGGAGAACCTCCCGGTATACATCCGTGAAAAAAGTGATAACTTTTTTCTCAGTTGTTCACCTGCTAAAATGTGGGTATTTGCCATGGAAATGTTTCTGGTGACGCGCATGATACTCTCCCATAAGTGCTCATCATGTTGTAAAAAATTGCTTCGACTTATTACCCTTGATTTATGGATTCAATAACGTAACGTAACGCAAGTATTTTTGTTACATGATAGAAGATGAAACATAGGATTTTTTCAGTACTGTTAAATAGTATATTACATAACAAGAGTTGTAAAGCGCATATTACGCACGAAGTGGAGAGAGTTACACACGATGCCGCATAGCGGCGAGTGTGTAACTCCACAAGTGCGTAATTGCTTTACAACTCGAGAATTGTACTATACTTTTTCTACAACTACGCTATATTTTCTTCCGGATAGTGCAGATATTGATGTATTAAGGCACAAATAACGAATACCAATATGAAACTTCTCCCGTCACTAAGCCAGCTGCATGGAAAGAGACAAATCACAAATCTTGTGTTTGTTTATTGATACATTGCATACCGAGACATTTTCCTCAATTCGAAATGAAATGAAGCCATTTTTCATATCTAAACAGCTTCATCAATAGGGAGCAAAACACATTGTATAAAAATATATAATCAACATTCATGATGGATATTTATTTGTAACAGTGCAGCACGAGAGATTCTGTAATCGTTATTAAAAATAAAAAAAAAAGTTCTCCAACTGCGCTCTGAACCATCGACCTTTTGGTTCGGAGCCAGCGCTTCCAACAACTGAGCTACCACCATTTCTCCGTATTAGTTGATATTTTATTCATAATTTCAAAGATTGATCTTTTTTAATTATTCCTGTTATTCAAAGGAAAAGGAATTCATCAATTCAATGTTGAGTATTTTTTTCATTTCTAGCTTTTTTCCATTCTAGCTCTTTCCATTATTTCTGGTGGTGTAGAAATAATCTGCTCATCGTCATCGCTTGAAATAATTTTTTTGAGGAAATTGAGGATTATCAATAGAAAATATTCATATTTTCAAAAAATATAACTTTCCTGATGCTTTCGGTTTCGGTGGATAGCTGGATTGATTGATAAAAAGATAAGTACCTACCCACCTAGCTAGTGACATTAATGAAATTGTTAATTGTTATTGACACATCGCCTAAGCAACAAAACAAGTCATCTATCAACATGCCTATGAAAACCGTGCGATCGCTCTCTTTACGCACACGTGTGTAAGGAGTAGCTTTACTGCCATTGTTTTGTGTACAATATCCATCACTTACAGTAGTAGTCGTAGGAAAATATAATAATAGAATAGGATTTCGCCAAACACTGGTCGTTATTTCCATCTTTCTATATGTTCGCGTTGTGGAACGGTGAGAGAATGTTATTATATAAATGCATACAATACTGATCAAGGAGTCCTGAGAAGCGTCATTGAGAATATAATTAAATTTTATATAAGTCAAACAAGTTTTACAAAAATAACAATGCCATCAATTGAGGAGAGTAGTTGGAAGATGGAGATTGCACAGATGTTGTTAGGATTATAATAGATATTTTTGGTAACTTCAACTTGATCATCCATTGATGATGAAGTGATTGATGTAAACTGTTCTTCTGAGGAGATCGTGTAGGATAATATATATTCGTTGCTTTTTGATGTGTGGTAGGTATCAAAGCTGGAGCAGATGGTTGCAAAGATTCAAATCCATACGCGTATATTTGAAAAATTGTTGGAGTTGTGGATTTTTTCACATAAACATGAAGGTATTTAGCTTGAAAGAAACCTTCAGATTCGCGAAAGGTTTTATTGATGTGCCGCACGTAACAGAACTCCCCAGCTGTAGCAGTGCAAAATACTCATAATCCAGGTTATCAAATCAAATCAAATCAAAACTGAGCTTTATTGTCCAAGAAACATTCTTCCTATTGACAAAGCGTGAAACTAGCAAGTGGATAGATCCACTATGTCCAATTATTTGTACAAATATATAAAAGATATGAACATAAGATATAATTAATAAATAACACAAATACAAGGGTATAAAACAACTACAACTATCACCCATTGGTAGAATTGGAATACCTTGAACAGAGCGATCCTCCTGCTTTGAAACACTTTCAAAACAATGATATATCCAAGAATGATACTTGATAGCTAGTCCGAACAAAAATAATAACACAAATTAATATGGAAAGATTGGCGAGTGTCATACTCAGGAAAATCTATAAATGATAACTTTATTTCATCGTCTTACGATAATGATTGCGGAATGTCAAGGAATGCGTTATGGTATTCATAAATCAGGGGTTATTCAAAAAATTCCACCAGCCCACTTCTTGTTCGCCCACCATTGTCCGATCGGATCCCAGAAAACAGTGAACTGCTCGATGACCATACACCGAATCCGATCAATCACTCATTCCGGCGGTTTTTCAGCGCCTGTCGACTGCTAGCGCCCTAAACCTGACGTCACATCGGCTCCGGGCTTCCGCCCCGACGACAAAAAGAGACCTCGGCTCGTTTGCTGATCAATTGAACACCGTCGCCCGGCAGCTGAGCGATCCGGCCAGCGCCCGGAAGATGGACAACATCGCCTTCCATGCCAGAAAGGTCGGTTAGGAAGCGTGATGAAGGGTATCGGGTGTCCTACACGGATAAAGCCAGGCGCAAAAAGCCAAATCAGTTTGCGTATAGTCTATCCAAAGTCAATTGAAGCATATCCCGCACTGCGCGGTGTCGGCGGGTTTGAAGTTCTTTTTGAAGTGTGTGCATGTGGGGCTCGAGACACTCAAATTGACTTTGGATAATGTATACAGGGTGGGCCACCAGTAACGCCTCGGTCTCTAGAAGGCTAACCACTTATCTTCTTGGAATTCTTTCTCTCTAGGAAGTTGCATGTCAACATAGGCTACCATTTAAAATTATTTCGAAACATACAGGGTGTCCCCAAAAACCATAAAACACTGAAGTTAAACTTTTTACTATCGAACACCCTATATATTATTTCATTTTGAGATTCTCCCTGATGAGCTGATTTCAACGACCCATCATACTTGGGGTCTAGCAGTTATAATTACTGGAATATAGGGTGTGAAAAATCGAGATTTTCCAAGTTCAAGAATTTTTTGTGTCGAAACTATTCATAATTGGTTAAAACGGCTTACATGTCCCTATCTCAACTTTTGATCAACTATCTACTGATATTTAATTGGGACATATACCGGGTGATCAAGATTCTGAATTCTGCCTCATCCTGTATTTGTTTCAATTAAATGTCAGTAGATAGTTGATCAGAAGTTGAGATAGGGCCATGTGAGCCGTTTTGACCAATTATGAATGGTTTAGACACAAAAAATTCTTGAACTTGGAAAATCTCGATTTCTCACACCCTATATCTCAGTAATATTAACTGCTAGACCCCAAGTATGATGTATTGTTGAAATCAGCTCACCAGGGAGAATCTCAAAATGAAATAATATATAGGATGTTCGATTGAAAAAAGTTCAACTTCAGTGTTTTGTGATTTTTGGGGACATCCTGTATGTTTCAAAATAATTTCAAATGGTAGCCTATGTTGATATGCAACTTTCTAGAGAGGAAGAATTCCAAGAAGATAAGTGGTTAGCCTTCTAGATACCGAGGCGTTACTGGTGGCCCACCCTGTATAATAAGTAATGTTTTTTGTTCCTAAACAGTTTAGCAATGGAAACAACAAGATCGTATAGACAATCATTCGTATATGGCATTATTAGCTGAATAATTCACCAACTCGTTGCTCCTGGAATTCAGTGCTCCTAACAAGAATATCGGTTGAATACTGTCTGTAGGTTAATTGATTCCAGATTTTTTCAATTTTCTCCTCTTTCCTATAAAATGAAAAATATGAATATTATTTCAATATACGTGTAGTGAAGACAAATCAGATGATTTGCCCCAAAATGCCACTGCGTTTGGAGAATTTTCCTATCAGAGAGCCTAAAAGGAAAATTCACTAGCTTGTCAGTGACAATTTGTATTGATAAAAAATTGGAGAAGAGAAATGAAGGTATATAGAAAAAATATCAGATTTTTACTCAGCTTTGGACGTTTCAGGAACGAATCCGCTCCCGTTTTCAACATAAAAAATTGATTTCTTGTATGGCAAATTCGTATTTGTCCTGACACTTTTCACCAATTGTTACTGAGAACTGAAAAGTGTCAGAACAATTCCTTGCCTCGCTGTCAATCTACTACTTTTTTGCCTAGTAAAACGAATAACTATTTGGTGCTTCTCCATACATACTCTGCCAGTTATTCATCATCCCCAAGAGAGACAACAAAAATCTGCCCACCAACTACAGCCTTATTGCCCTGTTATCAGTAAGCTCTAAAGTGAGCGAAGTGGAGAAAGCCATCAACATTGAGCATAGCAAATATCTGGAAAGCTCAGGAATAAACAATGATAGACAATATAGCTTTCGCCACCAAAGATCAACTGGAGACCTACTTTCCTACGTCACCTATATATGGCAAGCTTCATTAGAAGAACATGGGGAATGTCTAGCTGTGGTGTTAGACATATCGAAAGCATTCGACCGTGTTTGACACTGGGGACTCCTTCACAACCTACCATCATACGGCTTACCACCTCAACTTCGCAGTATATATATCGAGTTTTCTTTCAGACAGGTGGTGATGGACGGTGTATCTTCTGATACCAATGTAATCAATTCTAGCGTACCTCATGGATCAATTTTGGCACCAACATTATTTCTACTTCATATCAATGATCGAAATTTGCTTAACGCAGTGACATTTTGGGGTAAATCATCTGATTTGTCCCTCTACAAATATATTGAAATAATGCGAATACTCTTATTTTATAGAAACGAGGAGAGAAAATCCCAAAGAATCAAGTAAAATGAATGTACCACCTCCTCGATTAACCTACAGACAGTATGCCATAGAAATTTTTCTTAAATGAAATGGAGACCATTGAAATTATATTAAAACCGTGATTGAAACGTGTAATACAGAACTACATGTATATCTGTGGCCATAGCGACAATTACCTACCAACTGCGTCAACTGCCAAGTTTAAAATGGTTGTAAGTATTCACTACATTTAAACCTTCGACCGCAACAGCAGCTTCAACTGCAGCTACAATTGCGAAGTCTATGAATTGAGCTCAAGCTCATAATATATTTGGTAAACACCATGATCTTGCGCATATGGAATAGATTGTAGTAGAAGTCCGTGCGAAGCAAAAGATCCAGATGCTGTTCTATAAATATAATTTGTCAACTATGTCATACGGTGATCTTCATCATCGGCATCAATATCCTCTCAATGAATATCGTGAAGAATTATCATATAAATACAACGTAGTAAACATTTGATTCTCACAGTCTAGCTGATAACCAATTGAATAATAGTATATTATTTGAACAGAATTCCTTCTCCTTGGTCAGTAGATGTATAGCAATGGATACGAAATCATATTTGGCATGTAGTTGTAAACCAAATTGTAGTATGGGGTAAAAATACGTGCGTGCAAAATTTCAAACGTTAAGGAAAGCTTCGAAATGATAATTCACGAGTTGAACCTTGGAATCCAAAGAACAGTCTGATTGATAAAGATTGAAGCTCCATGAAAATTAGATACCTATTCGCTTTTGTAGGTCATTAATGGCGAGCTTCAACAGCTGAACGAGATAAAAAACGGGATACTGTATAAGATCACGACCTTAGAGCTGTTGCTGCACCCACTCAATGTACATGCAAATGAGTCTTTGGAGAATTTGAAAAGCATCCAGTATTCTTTGGACAATGATGGTTGGAAAACTGCTGAAAAGGTAAGTTGTTGATATAGAACAAAAATAACATTGACTTTATGTTCCATATGATGTGGTTGTTTGTCTATTGGCGATGTGATAATTGTAATATGGCATCTGGATCAAACCTATATAGGTGATTTCGAACTCGTTTCAAACGCGAAATGTACAGTTGGAAGTAGTTGAAACTCTCCATAGATCTCACGCAGGATAATCCCACAGTCTATCATACTACACGGTCAAATACTCCTTGTTACTTTATATCGATGACTTGTCCAGTCTGCCGGTGTTCTTAGCACTTGACGAAATGTGGATCTTCTTGTCTTCGAGGGCACTTCCATTATTGTTATTCTCTGTATATCGAACGTTTCCTCAAACCTTCGCCTTGAAAGACAAATGTTCAAGATATTTTATGGTTGCATGTATAGGTATTTCATCTCAACTGCAACTTCAACTTCCTTCACTGAGGGACATACTTCCATATATTGAAAAGGATTATTCTCAGATGAATTATAAACATGAACAAATATATAGATATACATCCAGAATTTATTTCCTCGTCCTGTATGATGAATATCAATTCTACATACATCCAAAAACAAAAAACATACATCCATATCTTCGGTATCATTTATCTGAAATCCACTGTTCAATATCACAAATGATGTTATGACCCCAATAATTGTGACCGATTTGTGATGCTAGTTTGGCTTAAATATATGTCATTATTGATAGCATCAGTCGTAATGATCTATTCCTACGATATTCTCAATATTCTTGACATTTAAAACTGGTATCATCGAACCGATCTATGAAAGTGGAAATAAAAATGAACTTGACAAATGTACAATTCGGATTCAGAAAACTTTTTCTTCCCATCATACTATTTTCAATAAATAGCCTGATGAATGGATCAATAGATAAAAATTGTATATTGCTTGATTTAGCTGAAGTGCTGCTTTTTTTATAATCGAAAATATTGGATTTTGTGATTCTTTTTCTTTCTTCAATTGCATTCCCCCATTGGTTCCAGCACAGACCAAATATAAGTCGAAACTTGTGCGGGGTTAGGAAAGCAAAAAAACATAAAAATTCATGGCCTAACTATGGCTCGAACCCATGCCTCAGTGGGAGTCCCCATATAACAACCAAGCGCCTTTGCTTATTCATCTAATAGACTGACCAGTAACGACACATTCTTTGACACGTTCGATCAATGAGGGTATATTATGATTTTTATGGGTTTTCATCATGTCCTAGACAATAATTATCAAATTGTACTACCATGCAGCGGCTTCACCAATTAAATTCAAATTATTAACTGAATGTGCAGGTTTGAAAAATTCCTACAGTGCATGTGCACGCCACGATCGTCTATAATTGATCCATTTCGAGTGTATTCAATAGTTAAAATGAATAAATCTTTGGTAGAAGCCCATATTGCTCAAAGTGAAGTGAAATATTCAAAGGAAGGAAGGAATACTAGAAGTCATCTCCACAAATGTTGATAGTGTTGTTACACAATCAGTAGGGACATATTTTGGTCTTATAGAAGACCATCTTCAGCCTAATTGAAAGTTTTGGAGTTGAAAAGGTGTGATGCTAGTAGCTGTGAAATTGTTGCCAATGTCCACAGTCGAAAAATCGAATTTATAAGTGATTAAACGGGTTCTTAATAAATGAAGGGCCCCGTGCCCTGAGAGACAACACAGTTCATCAGGAAATTACATATACGAAAATGACAACACCGTATATTCACGAGTTTTTACAAAAGGTTCTCTGTGCCGTAGAGCGCATTCATAAGGCCTCCGAATAATAATAATCATAATTTTCATAATCATTTATTGGGCAAATGTGAATGTAAAAAGTTTTCCAATTCCTTTGGTAAACATTCATGGAATTTTCATGCATCGAATTCTATCACAGATCATTATACCAGCCAGATATCGAGAGAAACATACGTATTCAGGTCGTAGATAGTTTTTGCCCGCTATTCCCCTATGTTATTCAAATGAAGTTGTTGCTGGGTGGTTATACTAATTTCTTATCTCTTATTCAATATTTTCGAATAATATTCTTGATGGGACAAACGTGATAATGAAGAAATATGTTGAACACGTGGCAGTTCCTCTTCGTAATTGAGTCAATTTTCATTTCAGGTGCGAAAACAATTCGTCTCTCGCATTGAAAGTTGCTTAGAAGAACTTTACAATTACGTGAATGTCAAAGTCACGCAGGAAATAGGGAAAAGTCGACCACTTTGGGAAATGTTCCGCTCCAGTCGATTTTACATTTGCAAATTAATTGTGGATCCATTGGTAAGAAAAATAAATTGGTACACTAGGAAATGTAGGGAGTTGGATATCTCGTAGGAGTGTTTCCAGCCGCCCGTGTTGTTTGTTTTAAATGAAATTACACTGTTCATCGGTGCATGGGAAAAGTTGACTAGTATATTGTTCAACGACCGTATAATAATGACTATCACTGACGAAGATGAAATTCGCTGCACGAGTCAAAAACACTGGGTTATATCTGCCTATACATATAGTGGATTATTATACGTCATCTCTAACTATTTGAATGAAAGAGTTTCTCTAAACATATATTTCTCTGAACATATATTCCAGTGATTATAAAATCTTGTAGGCATATCAACCTTCATGTATATTTCGTACATCGAATCCGGAAATCATCTCAATGACTTTTATTTAAATTGATCAAATATAAATCATGAATGAACATATTTTGATTCTATGTGACCCTAACATCAGCCAATTAAATGCTAATAAGTGCACGAAGAACCCCTAAATTCAAGGACACGAGGTACCTTATAAAATGAAAAGTCGACCATTTCTCGATGTTAAATATTTTTTCGAAAATTTTCATATTTTCATCATAATATGGTTCTTCACACTCTTTATATTCTAGATCATGAAGCATATATTCTTACCCATTTTGATCTATGATGTATTGTAATGGATGGTCCTGCTTGTAAGAGATTGAGACTGATTCAGTAGCTTTAGCAAAGAAGGTTTTTCATATTCATATGTCTTTTTGGCCGACAAAGTATCTTTACTGCGTTCTTCATTTTCCAAGGATAGTGTCTTCACAGCTACATATACCCAGTATATAAGTAGCACACTAGAATAGGATATTTAGTTTCTATCTTCAGCTGAAGATACTATTATAGTTAGTGAAAAACGTATCGAGGCATTTAAAGAACCGGTTTGGTTAGTGGTGAAGCTGTGTAGCCGTTCTGTATAACCTGTGACACCTAAATGTGAAATTCCGTGAATTAGTTGTTTCCAGTCATGGATCTGTCATAGGTCAATCCCGTCAGAAATATCTTCAGAATCTACCTATTAATGCACTTTCAAACATTTATATTACATGATTTATCTCCCTGGTTTTCCTATAATATTTATTATTGATGACCTGCAGAGAAATTATTGGAGCATCGATCTGTGTATGCCATTCTGATTTTCCTGTCCTGATAAAAAAGGTATGAGTTATTCAGATTCTAGAAAATATACCTAATTGTCAGACTACCAGTGGCTCAAATTGTAGTGATTCAATACGAAGTGACAATTTGATACATATCTATTCATAGCAACCAGGAGTCCAGGCTACACCTAGGGTTTGTAATTGAAAGCTAAACCCTCTTGGCCCCTTGATTCCAGGTCGATTCAATATCATTGACCCCTGATTTACTGTAGGAACCCTCTGTGCCTTTCTTCACTGTTGCTACCTGGGCCTCCTAACAAACCCAGTTTGTAGGTGCAGGTGAAGTGAATCTCCTCGACAGTCACGACTCATATTATATCAGAAGACAAGGGGTTGAGATTCTTTTCGGATTCGAAATCGATACATCAAATCAACTACAAATGCAATTTATTTCTGTAGACGCCCTGGTTCTGAATATATTCGATGATTATTGAATCCCAACTCGATTACTTCAAAATATATGGACGTGCTCTCATGAGAAGTGAGAAAAAGTTTATTTCTGTGAAACTGAATGTATCGAAAGAAATCTTCTCTTCGTGATTATATTCGATGTCTTGATTCCAAATCCGAATATATTTTCAATACTACAAGAATTATATCTTGGTAGTTACCGAAGATACGGGATGCTTTCATCAATATAGGGAGGAACATTATGAGATAGTGATGTAATCTTGATGACAATAGTTATTGATGGATACCTCCTCTACCTCATCCTGCACAAGTTTCGACTTCTTGAGAGATTGTTTTCATCAATTTCGAAGTAGCGATTTTCAAATTTCACATTTTCTTTGTTTCAACCTCATCGCCACCGTTATACGGAATTCAACCTTTCAAACATCATTTTGAATCTCTGTAGAATAGTCATTGAAATAGTTATGATATTCAATAAACCAGAATGTCCGGAGCAATGATGAATCGAATACAATCATGTTCGCTTCATTACATCACAAAAACCGTCTCACATGGTGAGTAGTGATAAAGATTTTAGAAAATATCAAGAATGTATTTCAAAGAGTCCCATCATCTTCTCATTGTGAATCTCATAGGTGAAGTTATGCCCATGGAATGAAAAGTATTATTTCATTCACTACCTACGTTACCTTTGTACGTAAATGTAAACTCGATTTCAGAATTGGTTAGTTCAATTTCAGAAATGGTGAGTTCAATTTCAGTATCAGAAAAAGTCCATTCAATTTCAGAATTGATGAGTTCAGTCTCAGGAAATGAATCCTGAACAGCCTATCTTTTCAATATATGATTTTTAAGAACCATTCAATAAAATATAATCTCAATTTAATCAACAAACATGTCTTCCATTCGAATCGCAGGAGGATAGTGGCGTTTCATTGAGGTGTTATCATTCTCATTGAATGATCTGCACATTCTTCTTGACATCGCAGTCTGAATTCTATTTGTTCAATAAATCTGTGTGGATCCTCGGCTATGACCCTTTGGCGAGGCTCTTGCAAGAAGCTCTTCACTTCCGACTTGAAGGTACTCCGTATAATGTAAGGGTTACTTAGCTGTGTGCACTCCATGTTATATTGTATGTTCAATTGGGTTGAACATAGGTAGCTGCAAGATGACAATCTGCAAATAGAAACATCTTGAAATTATTTCTCCATGCATATCCCCTCTATTCTGCAGGTGCATTATCCAGAACCATATATATACCACTATGGTATTTGCAGGATGCCAATTTTGAACAACTTGGTAGATTTCAATGCAAACAAAACACAAGTATGCTATTTCTTTAGAAAAGCCGATCTCACTGTGCCCAACATAAGCTTTACAGGAGTAACCATACCTTTGAAGACATCCATTTCGATGCTTGGTATCACTATCAGCTATAACCTTTCTTGGGAAAATCACGTGAAATCAATTGCTGAAAGTGCATCTCACAAACTTGGTTTTTTGTTTCGGGCCAGGAGCTATTTCACTTTCAGTCAGCCGCTTATTATCTGTAAGGCACAAATCCAACCTGTCCTGGAATACTGTTCCCATATTCAGAGTGCAGCACCCAAACATACCCTGAAACTGTTGGATTCTGTCCAAAAAAGGGCAATTCGTCTCGTGGGTATGCCTCGCTCACAAACTCACTCACTTCTCTGGAACACCGTAGAAAAGCTGACGATCTGGCTCTATTTTATAGATATTTTCATGGACGATGCTCTTCTGAATTATCAACAATTGTTCCTCCCTTGGCAGTCCCCGCGAGATTAACCCGTCGAGTTGTGGCTTCGCACCCCTTCGCGGTCACTTTGGAGACCTGCAGAACATCTCTTTCCAGAGACTCGTTCATCCAACGAATAGCGAGGCTCTGGAATACATTGCTAAGGGAGGTGTTCCCCAAGGCATATAACCTCCAGAAATTCAAGAAGAACACCACCTTATTTTCCTTGGTTCTCACGATGTTCTCTGAACATTACAGGATATCCATTTTCGTAGGAACTGAAACATGAAAATAAAAAATAAAAACACAATTACAGCACCTCATCATCGTATGAACTAAAATTAATACAGAGAGTTATTTCAATTAACAGTAGTGCATGTGTGATCAGGATTATTTATTTCAAGTTGAACTCTCCTTTCTGAAATACAACTCACCATTCCTGAAATTGAATGGACTTTTTCTGAAATTCAAGTCACCGATTCTGAAATTGGGTTTACCATTTCTGGAATTCAACTTACCATTTCTGGAATCAAGTTAATTTTTTTCCGAACTATAACTCACCGATTTCGAAATTGAAGTTGAAAAGGTATAGAAATCGAATAGGAATGTACGTAATTGGTGCCTCACTTGATTCTTGTAGATGAAAAATTCATTGACATATGAAATCTCTAGAACCAAGTGTGAAAAAATATTGTTAGGACAAATACAGTCCATTTCAATTTACCGTATGAATATTATTCTCTCAAGCGATTACATGCAAAATTGGAAACGTCTCACAAATCACGTTTTCAATTATCGTTCATAGATATCTTTCATCCCTTTTGTTTTTTGCAGCACGGAATATCCTTCTTCTGCTCTTTTTCTGTATTACTACTCCTAACGATAGCTCCTATTGTGATAAAATTAGTGGATTATTACAAGGAAGATTCATTACTATCCAGGTGAGTTATCTCCCTTGAAAACTACTATGAATCATCCATACCAACAAAAGATGAAGCAAAGCTTCTCGTTCATTAGTTGCGAAAGTTAATCTTTTCTTGACAATTTTTTATTCATTATAACATACTGATGTCCTCTGCATCTGATGTGAACGCGAGTGCTTCAAAATTGATAACTGAGCACGATTATTTTGTAATACGGATTATTCCACTTCCATTGTCCTGATACAACATGCATTATATTCCGTATAGATGTATGTGGATCAGTGAATCAAGGGTACATTATTTTCACAGTATTGGGTATTCAATGAAAATTTTCCATTCCTCAAAGATCACTGGAACAACTGATGGTTGAACGATGATTCAATAATAAAGATGAAGAAGGCAAATATGTGAGCATAAACCTATCAAATCCCATTGGGAATGCTTCTGAGACACGTCAGTCAGTCAGTACTGGGAGAACAATAAATGACCAATGAGAAAATACTCTGCTTCGCTAGTATTGGTGTCAAGTTTGCCAGACAATATTATGCAATAATCAGTTTGGTGGGGTAACAATGTGGTGATGTTTGCTGAAAACTGTTCGATTTCATAGATGCATAGTATAGAATAGAAGAAGTAATCAATGACACTCATTCATGACTAACCTATCACTACTTTTTAGTCCGAGTATTCAAATACAAACGGTCCCTGACTGTCTCTTTGAATGACTGACTGCTGCATGTACGAGCTGTTTCATGATATACAGGGTGTCCGAACAACCATGGATCATACTCTTGCTAGTGATGAACAAGTTGATAACCTATCAAATCCACAACATGACCTCAACGTTTTCGAGATATTGAAATAAGAGAAAATTGAATTCCTATTCTCATGTTTCAAGCTAATAAGAACCGCTTTATGTCGATTCCAATAACAAGTTCCAATATCTCGAAATTCGTGAAGTTTTTACTGAGGTGAAGTTATGGTTCTCTGATGGGTTATCAACTTGTTATATCGAAGATTGGAACCTTTGGCACGATAATACACTACACTGTTTTACAACTGACCAAACCGATTTTTCAAACGCCTCGACACTTGTTTATAACTAGCTAGAGTATGATCCATCATGGTTTACCGGTCTCCCGGTATATTCGGTATCCTTGGTTTCTGGAATATCTTATCATTCTCCACAGCCATAAATTATATCACTCCTAGATCATCTATTTCTCTGATTTCAAGATTTCATCGAATATTCCAAAACCTCATACTATCGCAGTTTTATATTGCGTGTTCGAAAACAATCTGAAACATACAGGGAGATCGATGAAGTCTCGCCTGCATAATGATATTCCATTCCCGCTCAGGAAGATAACATGATGACAATGTTTATGACACAAAAGTCATCTAGACCCTCATTCATACTATCAGTCGGACTCGGTCTTTCGTTAAAGGGGTGGTTTCACTAAATAGTTGTCAAAGATTTACTTCATTTTACCCCAAACATTGGCACTATTTCTGGGAATCTCATGAGATCATTCATACATAATGGAAAATGGAACAGATACTCTTGCCTCATTTCGAAAAATGAATGTTTATGAATCGAAGTGTAATCACTTGTACGACTATCATATTTCATCAATTAGTCCTTTCAGCACTTAAAGGAGACCTTGAGATATCAGTTATGTATTCATTATACACCTCATTGACAATTAAACAATTGAAATTCCAATTAGACTTCATGAATCTCATGTTCATCATACCCTGCATCACAGGTGTATATCTCCTTTGATATCCATTAACAAGAATGAGTTCATGAAAGATATTAACTATATTTTTGTATATGAACAGTCACCAATAAAAGATGATTTTCTATCTCTGATAAGTATATAACTCGACGGAAAGCGTTTTCAGCTTGATATTGATGAGGTTGACTGAATTGGTAACAAAATTGATGGAGCTTGTAGAAATTATTCAATTATATTTTTCGAATAGATTATTTCCTTTCATTTTGCTGGTAATTTCCGAAGCCATATCATTATTTTAATAGTTTGATAGTTTGAAGAGTGGAAGAAAATGTAGATGAATGGATAACGCAGGCGATTATGGAATATAGGCGGTTTTGATGAACTTGAAAAGATGGAATAAAGCATAAATTTATCATAATTTGCAAGCCGCCTTTGGATTATGCGAAGAAATTATGGTAAATGAGGTCAACGATAACTCTGCTCGAAATGTTCTTTCAGAAAATATTCTGATGAAACCCCATTGTTTTCTGTCTTTTGAGTATCAGAATGTATTTAATTGACGTGATGAGGAATCATCAATTCATCGTAATTAGATCGGAAGTATACGAATTATTCTGTAACAAAAAGGTTCATCAAATCACAGCTTAATTGATATTATTCGATAGAGAGTATGGTCAGCAATATCCTTTTTATTTCTCTAGAACTATTACTCTTCCAATAAAATCCTATTAACTTTTTTCTGAATATTAAATACGATGGTGGAAGTCATCACATAATCTTTGATAGGTATACAGGGTCTCCCGAAATTAGCCTCTCAAACAATAACAGAGGCTTCTACAACCAAAGATAGAAAGAAAATTTCAAAATTTGTTTCGATAATAGTCTCTCAAGGGAGCTACGGCCCCCTGTAAGGGGACTTCTGAAGATGATATTTCTTGAATATTCACGAAACGCCATGTGATGAAATTCTGCAATTTGATATACAATATCTAAACGTTCCATGCACAATGCAGTGAATACAATATCATTCAAAAATTCAACTCAGAGTGACTCTACATTGAATATCGCTCAAACTTATTTGTATGCATAGTTTTCGACAATTTAATCTGGATTATAAAAATCCACACCTCTCCACAGCAAAATGTTGCTCCTGTTTCATATCGATCAGATGTATCATTTTCGAGTGAAATCGATTTGAAAATATTGTTACATCTCCCATTTTATGCATTACGTTGCAAATCATAGTGGCTATAAATGAAATCAACTTTTTCTTTTCACGAAACAATGTTATAGAGGCGCGTAAAATTGAAGAATATTGATAAAAAAATACTTCAATTTTTTTTTCATTTCCTCCACGATTTATTGGGAGGTTCTGCATGATATCTGAGATGTAACACTATTTTAAAATCGAATTGATAATGAATAATTGGCATTCAATCACTCCACTGTGTCGTTAGGGCAATAAATTGATTTTTACAACACTTCTCACGCTTTTTTTATAAAAATAATGAGCCTATGCATTGTTCGAAATTGTTGAATTCCAGAGTTCTTACCAAACGTACCGTCATGGCCGCCATTTGGCGATAAGTCGAATAAATGGTGACGTCAGTTTTCATGCTGTTTCGTTATTGGTCCGATGATCTTCTATTCCCACTCATGGAGCAAGGTTGTCAAATCACCAATTATAATCGAGTTATCAAAAAGATGTTAGATTTCTGTTGTTGATTAAAACATAATAGGAGGAACCCATGATATTAAAGTTAATTCTTGACTTCTTCAATCAACCAGCATGTCCAAATAAATATCTCTCACACTCCATAACAAAATATCATGTATATGTTGGAAACTTGGCAACATTGTGCTGAATGCTGAGAACTGACAAGGCCACGCCCCCAATTCGTACGACGTGTTGTCACGTTTACCGTTTCAAATGTCCTCTAGTTTGAATTAGTATAATTATCATCATTCATAGTATTGTCTAATGAAGGTGAAGATATGTGTAGTGAGATCTTGACGATTAGGCACTAGATATGATTCAACAGGGCTTCTCCTCATCGTTCTGAATGATTCGATAAGCGACAGGTCATATTGCATTGAATTCCGTTCAAAAAACTGCTCAAATCACTATGAAACATATATTCATTTATTTATATGCATCGAATCTTTCGGAATTCCTCTGCAATAATCATACAATATGAATGCTTTCTAGTGATGAGGACTATATACATGTAAGCATAAATGAACAAGAAATCGTTTTCTGGCAGCACGACTCTTAACAGTCTTGAGAATGTCAGTGCTGGGATCGTGATATTATCATACTTTTCTATATTTCAGAGACTACTTGATAGACGATCAAGGTGTTTGGGCTTCGCCATCATCAGTGTGAGTTCAAATCTAATTCAATTATAAGTACATTATCGTAATAAAACTCATGATACTCTGATTTGATCAGCAGTCCTATTCAAGAAATACAAATAACACCTCCAGAAGAACCTCTCGCCAGACCATCAGCTTCTACATGGGTTAGTCCGCCCTCACAGAGGTTAGTAGCTACCTATATCTGAACGGCATTGATAATCGAGTATATTGAGGAGATTGTTGTATAATTATTATGGAAATGCACATAGGCCTCATCATAGGTGATATAAATATTGATATCATGGACGAAAGTGATTACTGTCACGAATACTTGAATATATTGCAGGAACACGGCTATCAGTCTGTGATAAATACTGAAACTCGTATACAAGAGAATAGTAGAAGCTGTTTAGACCACATCTTCTTGAAAACCAAAGAAAATTATGAACTCTTTATTCCAATTGTATTGAAATCTTGCCTATCTGGTCATTTTGCAGAGATTCTCCAATATGAATTCCAGAATGAAAAAGAAGAAAAAATCGAAGGAAAATATCTGAAAACTTATCTTGATTACAGCGTTTTGAGAAATAAATTATCAGGGGAAAATTGGCTTAGACTATATGAACAAACTGATGTAAATGAGGCAACCTGTTTTTTCATTGATAAGATCAAAGAATATATATCATTGAGTACCACTCATACACGAATGGAGAGAAATAATTACAAAAGAAATCCTTGGATAACGAATGGACTTGTCAAATCAATAAATAGAAAGAACCTCATGTACAAAAATATTCAGAACAATCCAGGAAACACAGAATTATTAAACAATTTTAGGAAATACAGAAATTCGCTTAGTGAACTAATCAAACAAACAAAAATAAAATTTTATCAAAAACAGATTAATGAAACTAAAAACTGTCCGGAGGACATGTGGCGTTTCGTGAAAAATCTGCAGAAAAATGAGACTGAGAAAAAAGTATTCAAAACAATTAAATCAGGTGATACCATATTAACCAATAAATTTGAAATTGCAGAAACTTTTAATAATTATTTCACGGACATTGGCGCGAATCTTGCTGCAAAAATTAACAAACCTAAACAAAAATTTCATAGTGAACCCGTACAAAATTCAATTTATTTGAGAGAAACCGACGGAAATGAGGTAAGAAAAGTAATAAAAGAACTCAAGAACAAAAAGGCGCCAGGTCTAGACAATATTGGTGCAGATACAATAAAGAATTGTGTTGAATTTCTTGTAGGGCCCATCACGTACATTGTTAATCAAGTTCTAACAACTGGTGTTTTTCCAAAACCATTGAAATTAGCTGTCATCAAACCATTATTTAAAGCTGGAGACAAACTGGCTGTATCGAACTATGATATCAATTCTTTCAAATATTAGTAAGATAATAGAAAAAATCATAAAAATCAGAATTACCGATTTTGTACAGAAATACAAATTGATTTCAAATCACCAGTATGGTTTTGTAGCACAAAGATCAACCCAAGATGCAATTTTAGATCTTACGGGTAAAGTCTACACGGCTTTAGATAGAAAAGAATCGGCGATTTGTTTATTTATAGACCTCGCAAAGGCATTCGATACCGTCAGCCACCCAGATTTGATAGAAACTTTAGAAACCATTGGATTCCGTGGGATAGCATCAGATCTAATGAAGAGCTACTTAACTGACCGAGAACAATGTGTTAAGATTGAAGATACCATCAGCAATTCAAAAAAAGTACGTTATGGAGTTCCTCAGGGAACAGTTTTAGGGCCAATCCTTTTTATAATTTATGTTAATTCTTTATTCAATCTACCAATTCCGGGTGAGATCACTAGCTTTGCTGATGACACAGCCATATTTTTCAAGGATAAAAATTGGATTGATCTGAAACAAAAAATTAATGATTCCATACCCGTTATCTTGGATTTCTTCAACAGTAAATTGTTAACTATCAATTTGAAAAAGACAGTGTTCTTACCATTTACGAGCTATGAAACAAATTTACCAAATTTTACAACAATCAGCACCATTTATAATAGCCAACTCATTGAAATATCTAGCACAAAAACAGTCAAATATCTGGGACTCACTTTGGACAGCCATATGAAATGGGACAAGCATATCAGTAACGTAACACAAAAACTTCGCTACTACTTGTCGAAATTCAGATATTTCAGAAACTTTTTTGACATAATTCATTTAAAAATAATGTACTATGCACTCATACAGACCCATCTTCTTTATGGCATTGTGGCCTGGGGAGGCGTGACTAACACACATTTAAAAAAACTTGAAATTATGCAAAAATGGATACTTAAAATAATATTCAAGAAACCATACACCTACCCAAGCGACATGCTTTATGAAGAATCTGGGTTATTAGATATTCGTCAAATATTTCTTTTTACCATCATAATACACAAGAGGAAAAACTTGATTACCAGTCAGCATATCCAACATAATCATAATACTAGGTCCAAAGAGAACACATTAGTGGTACCTAATATGTCAAAAACTATTGGACAGAGGAGTTACATTTATTTAGCCCCTAAAACATATAATATAATTCCCCCCCAACTGAAATTATTGAATTCAATGAAACTTTTCAAAACCCAAGTGAAAAAATGGATAATGAGTATGCCTAGAAGTGAAACACAACGCATAATCGATCTTAAAAATAATTAAGTTTGTTGTTGATATTCTGATACCGTTTCATGGTTACCTGTTAGGTCTGATTTAGATTTAATGTAGTTGGTAGTAAGTTATTAAATAAAATATAGAAATTCGTCATATAATAATTATTGAATGAGTGTGACTGAGTGAATAAATTCTCATCAATATGTGATAGCTAAAGATCTTGCATAACATAACGACACACAAGAGTGATTGTAAATTTATTGTGAGCGATCCACGCGCGGGTTTTCCCTTGTGGACTTCTTGTTTATTTACATTTATTCTAAAGTGTTTTTTGATCATACTAGAATTCAATTAATGTAATTCACACTGTACTCATATGTATGTATATTTCGTATATTTCGGTAAATAAACATTATTATTATTATTATTATTATTTACACAAAATGTTTACAACCTTAGTAACAATCAAGGAAAGTATTGATAGTTATTTATATGTATATCAAAGGAGTAAAATAGGCTTTTATGGACCGCAGCGTGTAAATTATAACCTTGCCAACCTAATTTTGGAGATTTCATCGTGTACTACCCGACCCTCTGATTTAGCATCAAAATTTCCCATCGGAAACGAAATGGGTGATATATAATAGTGGAAGAGGCAATGCCAAATTCACCTCGAAAATATTATTCTTAGTAGGGTAGGATTCAAGCATCATTAATTAAAAGAGTTTGTGGACGCACTCACTGTTCGATTCACCGCAGTTCATAGTGAATGAATATTCAAAGATTGATTCACCACGAATGAAACGTTGGACTATTCACGCTGAACTGAGGTAAATCGAACAGATAGTGCGTCCACAAACATTTTTGTGACAAAAAATAACAAATAAATGAATACTCGACATTGCCTCTTGTACTATTTTATCACTCTCTTCGTTATCGATCAAAGTTTCCAAGCGAAAATGGGACGGTTGAATAGTACTCGATGAAATCTTCAAAATGAGGTATCGCAACACCCCTCATCCCTATTCAAAATCCGGGGGTTGTGCTCCCACCTAGTAGGGGGTTGGAGTTATGGGGATGAAGAGAGCAGAAAGTTCGTTTCCCCTCGAATCAGAAATTGAGCGTTTTCCGGATTATCATTTTGAATCCCTGAAATAGGAGTGTAAACTTTTCGTTGGATCACCCTGTATGGAAATGCCTAAGTACAACAGCAGAAATCACATTTCTCAAGTGGAATAAAATAATACAGAAATTATGTAGATATTCGATATCAATGATTGAAGTTCGTTCCATACTGTAATCAGAAATTCGATTAGATGTAGTTAGTTTGAAGAATGTCACTGCCACATCACATATTTTTTGTTTGTAATGTAATATTGTGACTTATTAAATATATTAAATTATATTATCAAATTATACAGATGTTGATATCAAACTATGGTTGGTTGACTAAGTTTTGTTGGGGTATAACAACTCGAATATGTACATCGTAACAATGAATTGGAAGACTGAAGGTGACCTTACATATTGGAGGATATGGTATTAAGCTTCCGAGATCGATATGACAGGTGAATCAATCTCGACTGAAATCTAATGAACATGAATTTACTCGCAACGAAGAAATTCAATTCTATCTCTTCAGGTGTCCTTGTTTTTTGACTCACAATCTCAAAAATTAACGTGATGCAATTACTTACTTTAGTTGCTAAAAAATCGATAAAAAGTAATTTAGGTCAGTGATATATTTAATGCATAATTACCATCATGTTGCGCCAATTTTTTTATGAGTTTCCTGCCGTATCTGATAATTTAGTGTTGTTCTTGTTCACAGACAACCTTCTCCTCATCGGATTCCGCCACCGCCAAGGTAAGTCGTTTATGGTTCGAAAGATGCATAACGTAACATCATAGTCGGTCGCAACATCTTGATAAGAGAAAATGAATATTATATACAAATAATTACTATGGATGAATTCCAATAAGAAAATAGCATCTCCATTATTCTTATGATATCTGACAAAAATAAATAGGTACTGACCGTAAAACGGGGTTACTTTGCATCTCCAGGTAACTTTGCCATGAGTTCGTGAAAAATCTGAAATAGAATTTCATTTCTCAACCGTCAATACTAAATTGGTGTGACTTCACCAAACGGATCTTCAGGATCCTCTGTTAGTCTGATATCAATAGATTCCAGATAGCTCAATAGGCTGCCGAAAACTACTTGCCTATTTGGCGGGAGTGTTTTTGTTCGCACGGTAGGTTTCAGCTCTGATATAACATATTATTTCATCTCGTTTCATTTTCTATCCATCATAATTTCGTAGAAGCCGTGTGTAGATGTGTACTGATATAATATTTTAATTATTTTAATCATATTCAGATCGGTAGGAGAATACAAAATTCTCGATATCAGATCAATATACTCAAAATATGGTCAATTTCTATAATCTCATAATGAGTGTCCTACAGGTGGAAGCTCTCCTACTCTCCTAATCAGGAAAGTAATGGTTTGATGTCGAACACCACACCAGATAAACTGGTTAAACTTACATAAATATGTATAACCACCTTCCAAAAGTCATCTATGAGCAATGGAGCAATGTAATTAAGTATACATATCGTTATCTGTCTTGGCCAGCCCAAGCCTATTTGTTGATGCTCACTTAAATAAAATATTCCTCACTCAATGCAATCTGGTACCAAGAAAATATGATTATCGCCATGATACACGTCCATGATTATCGCCAATATCTCAATGGTTAATGCTACTTTTTATATCTGAATAATGATCATCAAAATTTCATTTATTACAGAGGTCGACGGAACCATCATGAATCACTCAAATTGGTGGAACCAATTTCATGGAAAACTGGGTAGGTTGTGAACTTTTTTTTTATAATTTGGTACCTAATATTCTTCTTGAGTCGAATTGTAATGCAATCACATCAAGCAAAGTTTGATGGTCAGGAAGTGATGTCAATATTAGCGTTGTAGCGTAGCTGTTAACGGCAATTCATCAAATTGTTCACTTTTGTTGATTGTATATTAATGAATCAATTTCCAATTTGAATGCCTTTTTTGATATTCAACGAAAAGTGATTCTACCTGCTCCTCATTTCTTCTCAGCATACATATACAGGGTGTTTCGAAATTCGACCGACAACGTTTGACAGGTGATAGCCCTCGTGATTTCATAATCATTGAGATAGGAACATTCGGTCTTCAAGTGTTCAGTTCTCGAGATACAGGGCGTTGAAGTTGAGAAATGAAAATAGTTGTTTCGCAATATCTCAAGAATAATTGAATATAATGCATTCAACTTCGGTATATGGTTTCATCTTTGAATGGGCCATTTTTTGACCTGGAAGCCATTCCGGACATTTTGTCCAGTGGTGCCCTACAGGGGGTTGTGGCATTTTTTCCTTCCATATTTTCTACGCCACTGATTGAATTTCGATTATTTCCAATTCCTCGAATTCATTGTTCAATTTTGTTCAGAAAATGCATCACCTTCAACTGAGCTGAAATAAACAGTTTTCGAGATATTCGACCCAAAATAGAAGATTGCATAGTAATATTTCATCATTTTCAGTAGTAGAAAATTGCAAAAATATTTTTCTGGTGTTGAGTAGATTAGATACTATTCAGATCTCATGCTATAGCTGAACAGAAATAGTTATTCCACGCATAAAGAGAGAACAAAAATGTTCGTAATTTTCTAATACTGAGGAAGATGAAAAATTACTATGCAAACTTCTATTTTGGGTCAAATATCTCGATAACTGTTCATTTTAGCTTAGTTGAAGGTGATGCACTTTTTCAACATAATTGAACAATCAATTCGAGAAATTAGAAATAATTGAAATTTCATCAGTGGCGTAGAAAATATGTGCGGAAAAGTTATCACAACCCTCTGTAGCGCACCTCTGGATAAAATTCTCGGAATGTCTTTCTGGTCAAAAAATTAACCATTGGAAGATCAAACCATATACCGAATTTGAATGCATTTAATTCAATTTTTCATGAGATATCGAGAAAAAACTATTTTAATTTCTCAACTTCAACGCCCTATATCTCGAGAACTGCACACTTCAAGACCGTCTGTCCCTATCTCAGTGATTATGAAATCACGAGGGCTATCACCTGTCAAGCGTTGTCGGTCGAATTTCGAAACACCCTGTATAAACTCCCTCAAGTTATTTTTGTAGAACAATATTTTCAACTTTTTATCACCCTATTGTATGCTTCTATGTTTTTGGGGAGCAAATCATTTTCACATGATACCTGATGAAATAATAATTTCAATACTGAGAGGAAATTTTGAATACGTTGCATGTTTTTCACAAGTTATGGTTGAGCTTCATAGTATCGTCTTGTTCTAGATCAACCACCCCGAGAAGATGGATTTGATTCGAATAGTGCTGAGACTTCGATGGAATATGACTTGCCTAGTTGAAAGATCTTAAAAAATGCATGTTGCATTCATATTTCTATATTGTTCAATGAAAAAAATAATTCTTGAGTAAACTTTCAGGTAGGAACCGACCCGCTTTCGTTAAGTACTTTTATTCATCAGTACTATACGTACTATTTTACAGGGTAACATTGCAATGAATACAAATAGTTGGCATAAAATAAGCTTGACGTATACATTATCGAATGACACCAATCACAAAAATTCTGGAATCTGGATGAACTTTGGGGTAAGACCCATTTTCCTACCCAAAGTTATACGGTGTGGAAATTTTGACGCCACCTTTTCCGTACGGAAGGCACAATCACGCGGAATTCAATTGACTTGAAGTGGCATAGATCGATTTTTGTTAAGTTTCGTTCAATTTTCAATATGGAATGTTCCGTTAATTAGCAGAACAAGAAAAAATCTGAAATTGTGGGAATACTCGTTAGACACTATCTATATCATATTGATGTGCTGAATATGTGCCATAATTTCAAAAACGCCTCGAATATCTTCAAAATTCTCCTGCATTTTCATTTATATCCACTAGCCGAAGATGTTCAAGATGTAGTCGAGACCTTAGCATATAGCATAGACAAACAGTTGAGATTACTATAGTCGAAGTAGAATACTTACTTGAGTCAAAAATATATTTATTTCTGGTATTAGTTTTGTAGATTCGTATTCACATAAAATAGTAACATTCAATTATGTTTTGAATGAGAAAAATTGACCACTACACTAGTAATATCTGATCTATTATAAACAGGGTGAAATTCATTAGCTCATTTCAAGAAGAATAGTTCATATGAACATATAACCTTAACCTCTTAACTTTCGAGATTTTCTGTGACGGGAAAAAAGTTTGACATTCAATCTCTGTTGACAGTTTATTGAATGTCACTCCTCATAAATCACTTCTCATCCATAGGGAAAAAGTGCTTACTCTTTTCCCGGATATATACAATACACTGTTGATCGCTTTTGTTGGGCGAGTTCCGAAAAATAATCCAATAACACCGTCTCCGGGAAAGAACAGCAAGTCCGTTTATCCTCCATATTCCACTTCGCGGTGACTCAAATACTAAACATCCACTAAGTCCGCAATTTTTTAAAATCGGATCACAGAATTTGAGTGACAAATATTTGATTACCCCAAAAGAAGGATAAAGATTCCTGCATAAAGATACCTAAAAGGCAGGTGTAATATTTTAATATAATGTAATATATTCTCGATATTGATTCGTTGAGAAAAATATAGGATTTTATCACGGTGTTTTATTATCTTCCTCCGCTACGCGTCCTCGAGCTAAAATCCACTACTTTTTTCTTTGTATAATAAATTACTATTTCTCTTCATTATTGATTGAAGATACTTTCACAATCGATCAAATGTCATTATTTTGATTGCAATGGCACCAGACTACTAGTTCGAAAAAAGTTCGTTATACCACAAATGCATGAAAACATTCAGGAGGTAGAATTGTTGCAAAATAAATGGGGATTCAAAGAGTTTTTTTTTGGAAAACAGTGAGGGCATCCATTTGCCACTGGTAAAAATATTGTGGAATCCCCTTCATGAGAAAATGCATATTGATGGTTAGTAGATAATGTACAGTGATGCCCAATAAATTGGTAACGACTCTTGGGCGAATTGAAATATTTTTGTCTAAGCACATGTACTATTCATCGTCTAGAAACGAACTGCCTCCCTCATTAGCATTTTATGACCTGCTTCGCGCTGTAAAGGTATTATATAGGGTATACCCAGCAGTATACCCAGAGGTGTTATAATTATTATTCAAACTTTCATGGCAACTACAATGAAATAAATAGGAATTGATCTGGACTGCTCCACAATGATTCAGTTCTGATGAAAACGATATAATAATATTATAACAAGAATCCAATCTTGAAATAAAGGGATTCAAGAAAATTTCAACAATCCACAATTGATTAATCAAACCTCTTAGCTCTCGAGCTATAGGGTGTTGGAATTTTCAAGCAAAAATTATTTCATTATAATAACTTCAATGTACTGTCTACAACAAGTTTCAGGGCATATGTTCACATGAACTTTTTTCTCAAAATGAAGTAAGGAACCATATCCCTTATCATTAACCATCAATTAAATCATACCCTGTATAACCAGGAGAAAACGATCGATACAATTTTTAATGAAATAATAAAGATATAGTACTAAACTATATAATTTCAGGTATCTTCAAGTAACCCATTCATTTTCAAAATTATGATGAGTTGAATGAATCTCTCAAAAATTTTGGGTAAATCCGAGGGTAAATCTGGCATAGCGCACTTCCGAATACGGAAAGTAAATTGAATAACCTTATTTCTGATAGAACACCACATTTTACAGATATGTTTGAAGTAGTTCCCAATGATCGTTTTTTGGGGCACCTTGTGTTTTAAGATAATGAAAATAGGTACCGGTATGTTTTAAATAACCCTCTGCAAAATCCATCGATATTTTGAGTGAAAAACTGTCCCATAGTACTTTTTGAAATTTGGGTCAATGAAATTGGTCACCGTTGGCCATGAAAACAGTTCAAGAATGAAATCATTTTCTGGTTGGATGGGCATTTCGATTACCTATCCAACAAATACATTGTTCTCAGACTCTATCATATTATAGTAACAGGGGTGGTAAGCTCTTGCAGTGGACACACTGTATATAAAAATTAGAATTGAAAGAATCTCTATCTGGCAATGAAATTCCAATCAAAATGTTCAAATGTCACTGTTGAAAATAATAAATTTTTAAAAAATATCAATGGTGAACGCTTCAAAATATGAATTGAAAAATACTCGGAAAAATATATAACGGTTTATATCATAGAATAATGAAAATGAGTCGTGATTATGAAAAAATGTGGGATGGTCCATTATGAATATGGAAGTATTACTTACTCCAGGTTCAATCGAAAGTGCTACGCTGCGGTCGAATACTGTCAGTATTTAGTATAGGAAGTTAAGGATACATTAGTGTATACAATAACTTTTCTCAATCGATTTGGCATGGATTGAATCACAAACCACAAATCACTATGAATTAGAGTTGAGCTTTCGAAGGGATTGGTCTACAAGTGTTTGTTAATTTCCAGGAAGTATCAAGCGACAGACCGACATGTATTATTTTTTCACGAATTCAAGTATTTATGGCGGATTTCCACCAAACAGACACGTCGAGTCGCTGTTTTGTTTCCGAAAATGGAAACTCCAACAAAACCGACAAAGCAGCAACATATCAGAAACGTTGTTGCAACTGAACGGACTCAAACAGATTTCTAGTTCCATTTACGTTTTCACTCATTTCCACTGGGCAGATTTCTTCATCACATCTTGGGGTGGAGGGTTTATTATGAATTCTCTGAGAAAGAACATGACCGGCTCCCGATTTTTAAATTTTTTATAGTTCCGTTTTTCGCGTTGGTACTGAGACAATATGATCTTTTCGGGTGTAGTTGTGTTGAATGAGGAACCAATTTCCTTGTACCATAGATTAGAGTCGTTAATCTATGCTTGTACGCATCCATTTTTTCATTTCGGTTCTCATAGCCCATGTTTTTGATGGGGTTCCATAAATTAGCATGTTCGAGGTAAGCTTCAATCAAAATGCCGACCTCTTCTGTTTTCCACTTTTTTTTTCTCAGTCATATTCTGAAAGAGATTGGTAGGTATATAATATATTCAAATGCATAATGAATGAATAAATAGATAGACTAACCATAAACACAAAATGTGCACAAACTGCAAACTGCAAAAAACAAGATACGTGTCGAGACCTATTTTCCCCCAGCCGAATGTGTCCGTAGTCATACAAAAACCCTACCGCCATCGACTGGGACTCCGAAAACAACAAAAACTGTCGCCGGCAACTCCTGTTTTCAAAATGTTTTTAAAATGTAAAAGTAGTAATTTTGTTTTGATATCGACAAGAAATTCTCTCTTGAGTCTCTTGTTGCTGTTTTGTCTGTTTGATGTATATTACAGACAAATAGATCTCGGAAACTATACAAATTGATATCAAATGGAGATGAATAGTTGTAGTATTTGAACATGCACTGTTCATATAGAACGAATTGAATATTGTTTTATTATAATTTCAATGGTATATAGATGCATACGATATTTCATAAATATAATATAGGTTCGTACGAGGGTTCGTACGTTCCAAGAGATGAAAAAATTACGTTTCGTTACGAATTTTGATGTTAATTCTACAACAGCATCCTACTCACGTTTGATATTTTGATTATCAATATTATCATTTATTGAAATGAATATAATCATAAACACATTCTCCTCGGACAACATTCCTAATGAGATTTGCTGATTTTTGCTAGAATTTACGAACCTAATTACAGTGTGTGCAGTTGAAAACCGCAAAAACATCGTATTTTTCGGAGCGATGACCGCTCAGAAAATAAAATAAGTATGATAGGTTCATAGTGACAAATGAAAATGGCTATATTTATGAGGGATAATCGACTATAGGAAAATTCTGCATCACAAACATATTATAGGTTATTCGAATTTGGTATTTTCATAATACTATATACTATACCAGATGTTTTCTCACTTGAACTGGCACAAAAATAGTCGAAATATCAATTATTAATTATTAGTTATGATCCCAAAACTATCAACTTCTGTGATATAAAAATATATATCATACTTTCTCCACATTCAACGTAAAATCCAAGAATGCAATAATATTTCAGGTGCCCCTATAGAAAAAAATGAACTCATTTGTCGCAGCGCTCTTTTGAGACACTCCATATTATGAATAAATCTTAAACCATTGAATAGATTGAATCAATCCCCATAGCTTATGCATTCAACAGTTTTTGTAATACGTAAAATGAAGAAGTTACAAGGAGGGCGACCCCTACTATATACATAAGTAACCAGCTTGATATATTTCATTGTAATGTGAGGCAAATCAATAACTATTATTATCAGCAGTAGTTTTCTTGTATTAATCTCTTACTTTTTACTAATGTAGTCCTATTGTGTAAATTGTGTATTATGCCAAGTTTTTTCTATTGTTTGATTCGGTTTGATTTCTATTGTTTACTTTGGTGCAAATTTTTACTTAGTTCCTGTTCTGTAATTGGAAATCTTTTTTTCTGTAGAACAGTGTAAATAAATAAATAAATATTACTTATGAGACATTTAATAAATTTGTGTTATCTAGATTGAGTAAATTTGTGATATATTTCCTCGTTTTTTCCATCAAGAATAAACCTAATACGAGTAGTGAAGCTCATATAAAAAATGACATTATGAAAATTAATGCGAATGACTAAGTGACAATGACAAACTATCAATAAACGCCTTGAATGAAGGTAGCAGACAAATTGTTCATACGGATTGTCCAGAAATTACACTCAATACTATAGTGATTTTAAAAATGGAAAAATTAATCTATATAGTAATTGATCTAGAACTTTCTCTCCAATCAGAAAAGAATATTAATAAGCTGGGTGATTGATTAGTGTGATAAAGTGCAGTATCTCCCATGTCGTTTGAGATATCAAATTGTCAATTTGAGAGATTTCAGCAATGGATAGTCTTGATGTCTTGAATCATTCACAGTATTACAGGGTGACAGGACACTGTTCTGAATCAAAGTAATATTTTTGTGAATATAGGAGATAAGAGAAGCTGAACTTCATCAAACTAATAAATCACCCTGTACTCCAAATTTACCTGCACGGTCTATCGAAGCCTAAGTTTTATACTTAGAAATTAGAATTTCCGGAAGTAGATAATCGCGTTTCAAGATAATAGGGTGTATACCGTTTTCTTATCGCGCATGCTGATGAGAATTAGTTCTTATTTCATTATAATAGAAATACCATCAAATCCAGAGATACTCTAGCAACTGTGCTCTAGCGATGTGAATATTTACCCTAAATCTTAGAAAATATTCAGAGATACACCAGACTATCTCGTACCACAAACCACAATAAGAAATCAGTTATTGAAACAGCGGGCGGTTGGAATAGATATTAGTCCGGGCGCGTAAACCGAAATTTTAAATGGATTTTCACACGAGTCGTTACCAATTTTATGGGCTCCACTAATAATAGGAAAACGATTTTTTTCTTGAAACTTCAACACTCTATAGCCCAAACGAGGTTAAGATTATATGTTCATATGAACTTTTCTCCTTAAAATGTGCTACCATTCCTATATTTTCAGCCATCAATTAGATTAAACGACTCTGTATAGTAGACAAATTGGTGATATGATATGGAACGTATAATTCCGATATTTTTTTTGTAATAGACATAATGATGCCATTGTATGTTATTATGTTAATAATTGTTAGATATAGAGATTCATGTATAGAAATGGTTTATATTTCGATTCATTCATAAAATGTATCGAACTATTGTAGCCGTAAAAAAACGGAGCGTTTTTGCATGCTAGCCTGGTGTCCGCTGTATATGGAATTAACCAGAAACGTTCATTCAACATAATTCAGTAGGATGTATGGTATCCACACTGCCCAATAAATATGACAATGATTCGTAAAATAGTTTGGAAGTTTTGGGCAAAATCATTTCGAATTTCCAAATGAAACATAAAACAGGAGACACATACTGCACAAGGTGATTTTTGGTTGAATCATCATATTTTGACATCAGGACTCGATAATTGGGATAAGGGATAAGATACCAATAAGTAATGAATCACTCTGTATAAGTACATATTTTTTTTGTGTTGTTGTAGATTGGATAGACTGAATTGATCGAACCTAATCATTCTTTGTAACAATACTTCTTACTGACAATTAGCTGTACTTTGCCATGATGAGATAATGAACTAATTCACTATTCAAAGGGAATTTGGTAACAATTATTGATGAACTGCCACGCCTTGAATCAAATAGATAGACAACAAGTTATAGAAATTTAATACACTCAAGATTTCACAAGAGAGGATTGAGATCAGTTGTTCTTGTTCTATTATTCAAATGTCGTATAAATCAAGTTGAGGATTGGGAATATAATTATTATGTAAGTGGGCTTTGGATAAGATGCAAATTGTTAATGTCATGAAATGTTGTATAATCAATCTGAAACTCCCACTTGAGAATATTAGCAGAAATATTATAATTGAAGTCAGTTCCTCTTGTTATGGATCTCAGAACATTGCACATTATGAATGCGGACCATACACAATAGCTCTCTGCTCTCCAGGCTCAGTGTCGTTGCTGATTTCAATAAAATGAATAAATATCCTGTGATATATCATGTTCCATTTTTTTCGTGTTCATGGTCACTGAACAGAGCTGATGAAAATTTGTCTCTTGTTTTCATCCAATTCATTATTGCATTGTCCTAATGCCCACTACATTGTATGGACAATTCTTCGAGAAGATACTGACTATAACTAGGATTCTGATACAAATATTTCAATATAATGTTTGTAGACATACTTCTACAGAAATCAGTCTTATGACCTGTTTCTAGCCGTTCATGAGATATTCTTAATTGCTCACATATTTGTCAATCTTCATATACATGATTTGTTTGTTATAGGAGAGATAGGAAAAAACGCATTCGAAAATATATTCAAGCAAGAGAAAACTCATCATTGAAAAACTATATACGTTTGTAGCGCTCTGTATGAACTTTTTTTCAGTTCATACACAGCGTTATGCAGTGTGTCATTTATTTTATGTTTATATCTTCATTTCCTTCTCTCTGTTTTGTTTTTTGTCACCAAAATTGTTATTTTCCCATTCTGTAATTGGCCTCGGCTGTTGAAATGGTGTACCGCTAAAATAAAATTAAAAAAATATATATATACCTCTTGAGTGGAAACGCATAATGCATCAAATAAAGGGAGAATCAAAGCGACGTTGTCAATGTAACTTAGTTACCTCACTGATCTGTTGTTCATCAAATACTCATGAATCACAAATGGAGGGCGAGATATTCAACTTTCAATGTTTGAAATAATATATGGAATCCACTAACAATTTCATTGGTTTCAGTCTTATATAGGTGGATGCGTCATGCCTTATGGGAGTTTATTCAACAAGAATATCAATAACATCACTTCGAACTATGGAAAAAACAGGCTTTATTTGGAAGAAATACATTATCCCATTTTGAATAATTATCTTTAATCTTACATACTGTTGCCCTGAATTTCGAAAAAAAAAATTTTGTGATCCCAAATTACACTATAAATTTCATTTTCTCCATCGGCTTGTTTAAATTTTCTCGGATGTGTTTTTTTGCGGAACAGGCAGGTTTACATCGCAAAAAGTATACTTTCTCGCGGTGTCTTTCGATTTTTATTCAGTCTGAGGGCACATGCATCAGTGGGAGTATTGATGGATTTTCAAGACGTATAATATGGTTGAAAGCGGGAAAATAGTACGAATAACCCAAGAATTATTGCAAAGTAGTATTTGGATTCTGTAAGAGCCCTTTGTGGTTGCCCACGTAGCATGATAGCTGATGTGGTACGAAGATTTGATACAGCTGATTCTGTGAATGCGATAATTTGAATTTGATTTTCTGATGGAAACGACTGAACACTAGATTTGCCTGACAATAGTATATTATGTAACAAGTGTTATAAACGTCCTTTTAGTAACGAGTGTTTAATAAACGAGTGTCTAGAAGAGTTTATAAACGCGTTACATACTATGATTTTTCTACGAACTCCGAAAATTACATAAACATACCTGCTATTCCTGCTAACCTATACAAAATAATCCGAAAGGAATGGGAATTGAGAACATAATACATGCAACTGCATGCAACCAGCGAGACACGTATAAGTGATAGTGGTTGTAGATGTGTCCAGTCCATTGCTTACTTACCTCTGTTTCACGTTTATTGTCATGCTTAGCGCAGAATAAATAAATTGTTCTCAAAGATGTATGCTCTCGTGTATGCTTCATTTTTACACTTCTTGGAGATATATAAGTACCAGAACATTCTCTTCGATTTCACTTTCGTGTACATTTCGCATATATTTTTAATGAAAAATTCTGATACAAACGAATATTGTTTGAAAAATTCTCTCGAAAATTCTGATACAAAATTAAATACAAAAATAACAGTTGACATTTAATACAATTGCCAGGCCAGACATGTCTCAAATTACGGAAGCTGTGTTCAATGAACTGTGTTGCCATGGTAATGTGTTCAAGAAATCGTGTTCAATATTTTGAATAAATCACAGATCGACAATCCGTGATTAATCGATCATACAGCGTGGTACATATCCGTACGCTAAATGCCATTTTGGTTATGTGAGTAGAAAAAGTAAATTTTTTTGACTATTAAAAATAGGTAGAGATTAACCTACACTCATTCCCCAGTTGAAATTTGATTTGAATCATTAAATATATCTTTTACTTTTCATTCGATGATGACTATTATTGTGAAAATCATCAGAAAACATTTGAATGCTTGAGGACCTTTCAAGATAATTGTGTTACGTTACTTGAAACGAACTCGATATGGGCTGTTAATTCAGTTCATGTTATAAAATATAGGGTGATTTATTCGAGATTGCGAAGTTTCAGCGAACTTCCGGTATGAGCCAGAAGTCCAAAAACTTCACGAATATTTCAGGAGAAGCTTTTCATCCATTCTGCATTATTCCCAACTGCATAATAGTAGACCAACTCTATCTTCCAATTCGGCTAACCAACTTTTTATCATTCATCAGTCTGTATATTAACGTTATTTTCTCATCGAGAAAAATAACAATATGCGGAAGTTGAATGCCGCAATGAGGCCTTTCCACAGCCTTTATCAGAAGTTTCACAGGGTGATCCCTAAAAGCGTGACAAACAATTAACAAATCATTTTTCATTCAATGGAACACTGAAATGTTTATATTATTTCAGAATCTGTGAATTTTTGTCATTACAAAATTATTATACAGGGTGATATATTGCATCTTCGAAAACAGTTTTTGTCAGAATAATTGGTGATCATTCGATCAGTTTGGGAATGTAGTCGATAATGATAATAGAAAAGAATTTATTATCATTGAAGACGTTGGCTGAGAATACCTTTATACTAAAGGGATAATATGGTAAGACAAAATTCATCTAATAATAATTAATGAGACCAGCTTTTATTGTTCAAGAATACTGATGACGTCTTGTCTTCTTCTGAGCCTATCAAAATATTAGGAATTGTACTTGACTCAAAACTTTCATGGAATTCACCTGTTGACATTGTCTGCGGCATACTAGAAGATGACGTTACGCACTAAAGATTATGTCGAGTCATTGCATGCGGAACAGGAGCACCTTTTTTGTGAAACAGTGTGGATTTTCATAATCCGAGATCAAATTGTCGAAAAATATGCATACAAGAAAGTTTGAGCAATATTAATGTAGTCCCACCCTGTATCATACATTCCTGAATGAAACTTCGGAATGATTTTATGTTCAATGCATTGAGCATAGGAAGTTCAGTTCTTGCACTAAATTGCATCATTTTATTACATGGCGTATCGAAAATATTCAAGAAATATTATCTTCAGGAGCCCCCTTTCAGGGGACCATAGCTCCCTTAGGAGACATTTCTCGACTCACGTTTATTAAAACTTTCCTTTCTATTTTCGGTCGGAGAAGCCGCTGGTGAAGTTTGGCAGGCTAATTTCGGGACACCTTGTATAATTCATTTTGATATAAATAGATCATGTATTCAACGTATTACAAAATATATGACGGAAACACAACCTAGGCCTTCAAAAAAAACCGAAAGTGGATTTCAACAAGATCTACTACCTATAACAAGTTTTATATAACAACTATAAAAACAATCGGAATATCAGGAATTGTATCAGTTCGATACTAACCAAAGTTGAACAACTACAATGGCTTCAAAAGTAAGTACATACAATATACATGCATATACTGAAGTACATAATTTCAAAATAACATAGTTTATGCACTTTCCAAACTGATGTATATTCTTCATATGACTCATTCAATCTCTAGGGATAGAAGTGTAACCTTAGCTGAACTTTCAGATCAAGCTAACGGAATGATTAACTCGTACTTGTATATTTATCAATGACTGTTCACATAGTTTTAGTAATGAATTTTCAAAAGGAGCAAAAAATATGTACATTATACAATGTTTACAATGAGTACTGATTTGCTGAGCTGTTGCTGATTTCTGATTATTCGTTGCCCTTGATCCATGGGTACTCCCTTAAGGAATTTAATGAGTCACCTCATTATCGCAGTATAATAATTTTTTAGTAATGAATCATTCTTGAGAATATATTGTCAATTCCATCCATAACCATATTGTATGCTTTCTCAATATACTAGCATACATTGATCACTTATAGTATTTTTGAATTTTCACTCCTGTCAAATCATCTTTCGGAATACCCAAACATGATATTCTCCTCGAATATTTCATTTTCATGTATCCCTGTGTTTA